ACTATGTGTTGCTTAATCCAATGAATAAATTAAGTTTAGTGTATGTCTGTGTTCAATTTATTCAACATAACCCAAAATTTTAGAATGTGTACCAAGTTTGTAATATTTACTGAAGAATTATTTCTAGGTTTTGAGACTATTTGTTCTACTTTTGCAGGGCTGTGGAATGGGCAGGAAGACAACACTGTATGGGCTACAGGTAAGGACCACTGCACTCTACTATGAATTATGTTCTGTTATGAGAGAAGTGGCTAGCGAGAATAATGAGAGCTAATTTTTGAAGTAATTGTCCCAAGAACCCAGTTGTGATCAAACAAATGTCATTGTCATCATTCATTACTTATGAAACTGTGCATCAATATACAATTTTATTATAAATCTTATTTTACTGTCTTATGTGCAACTTTTTAAGTTTTAAATTTTAAATTTAAAGTTAATAAATCGTTTCGCATAAGACTGTAAAGAAGATTTATAATAAAATGGAAGAGTGCAACAGGATGCTACAATAAAAACTTATCAATTCACAAGTTATGTAGGCTATGTCAAATGTTTTTAGGGTAATTAAAAATGTTTGAAAATCAGATCACACTATCAGTAATATGATTTATAAGAGAATAAGGTGGTGACGACTGCTATGAGGAATAATTTAATGAAATATACAAAATCTTTATACTGGCAGTCCCTTTCAAGTAAACTTTGTTATTTTCAAATCTGAAGAGAAGTCCATCATGTAAGGAAGCCCACTAATTTCCTTTTTAATGTCCTTTCAGTGGGGTGCTGTGGTGAATACCTGGCAACAGCTGTTTGATGATCACATTGTGAACACGTTTGAAGCTATTCGTTCGTAGTCTGGTTTGAACAATAATCCAACTGTGGGACAGTTTGTAGATGCCCTGAAGACTAACATCATCAGTGCACTTGCTATCAGAGGTCTGTGTGGAACTAGTTGTGAGGATGATGGTGCTACTGTTGTTTGTAACCTACAGTCATTGTTCAGGGCACCTGATGCTTCACCAAATCTGTCCACAAGTCGTGGCAAGGAAACCCCTGATGAAGTTTCTGAGTTTCCATGTTACTCAACAAGTACAGAAGGACATGGTTGCTGCAATACATGCTGGTGACATGGAAGTGTTCTCAGTAGCCTATGTCAGTGGTTCCGTTGCCAGACAGGTGCTTCGTGGTGTCAGCTGTGATGCACACATGATATGCGTGACATCTGAAGTGCTGCTATCAGTNCTCACTTGTCCTTCTGAGACGTTGGTGTGGAGACTGTTGGTATGCTGTAACTCTAATGGAATCTATGATGACAGGCAATTCAATTCAT